TGTTCAAGGACTTATTTAACATATTTTGGAATGTTCAATGACTTATTTAACATGTTTTGGAAAGTTCAAGGACTTATTTGTTCCAAAAAAAAGTTCAAGGACTTAATCATTCCAAACAAGAAAGTTCATTGATTTTTATTGTACTTTTCCCTTAAATGATCTAAAAGTTTGAAAACTTTTCTCTCTCTCTTACTTTTTTTTAATTAATAGATAATAATAATTATTAGCTTATAGTAATTATAATTTTTATTTGTATTATATCTTAATTAAATTTAAAACCAATAAATTGGAAAGCAATAAGTCTTGTTATTTATAAAAAATAATGTATCATTTATTTTATAATTTTACAAATTTAACCATATGTATATAGTCATATAGTTTGTCTTTATAAAAATCAAATAAAAACTTTAAAAATTCATATGCAAATTCTTAATTTTCATTTTATCAATATTTTCATAGAAATATATCATTAATCCTTCTGCAACTTAAAAAATTCAGAAAATAATCCATAAAAAACTATAGGTAGTCTGACATTCTTCCCACTTCGATCTAGTCCTCCGCCATGGTATGAACATGTTGCTTCTACAATTGGGTACGTCAACAGTAATCGTTACATCAAAATATCTTTGGTTTTTAAATATGATTGTGCAACCGTATGGGCTACTCCATACATGACCCGAATAAATAAGTACGAGCAGCTGTTATCTAGTAATTGTACTACATAATTTATTTCGCTTGATTGAGCTGTAATATTTTCAAACTTTTTGTATTTTATTTGTTGATTTATTAATTAACTTATTTTGATTATCTTTTTTGTATTAAATTATTTTATCTTTGTAGCCTTGAATATTTATTTTAAAAAAATACATATATAAATTATTAATTAATTAAAACGTTAACAATACAATTATAAAAATTAAAAATAATTTTATAGTTATTTGAATTAATTTAGAAATAGTTAGTTGGCAAAATTTATTATAAAATATAAATTTAGAATAACAAAATTAAAAAACAATGATGAAAAAAGTTATAAAACATAAATTTATAAGACAAAAAATTTTGGAAAAAAGTTAATGTAAAAACATTTATTAGTTGATTTTGACCCAAAAGATAGGAGGGGTGCACTTTACCAATAGGAACAGATGCATATATTCTCACCCTTCTAAAATCAAAATAAATCTGAGTTTTCAAATTTTATATGTTCATATGAAAAGGGTAATATGAGTTTATTCAAGTTTTAATTCTTATTGTTCAAAGAAATAAAAAAACTAGTAAAAGAGAAATATTATAAAAAATTTAAATATTTTATATGTATTATTGATTTATATATAATATTTTAATATTTATATTCTTGATTTAAAAAAAATTGAAAGGTAAGACAATAATGTTAAAAGAAAAGGCGAAGGTACAAGAAAACAAAAGCTACAAAATTTGCAAGAATCAAAAAACAAGCCAACACTCGACAAAAGAAAAGCTAAAACACAAAGAATAAACCTGCCACAAGACTAAAGCAGCCACAATGAAAACAAAATATGGCCAACCGAACAATAACAAAACCAACCAAAGCTAACGACCACACACGCCCAAAAATCACCAACTATTGTTGGTCATCGAGACCATACCCGTTGCATCAGTCCGTCCAAGAGATGATGAGATCCTTGGCTCGAACCATTGGAAAGATAAAAGTTGAACCTCAAAGCAACGATCGATAGGTTGAATATACCTGTTAGAGAAGATCTGTTTGTTAAAATGCATCCAAATCAAGTATAAAGATGTACAAACAATAGCCTTCCAAACATGTTGCATTGACTTCCGTATAGAATGTGAATCCTCACAAGAAAGTAATTCCTCTATTGATTTCGTCGATGAAAGACTCCAACTCACCAAAGAAAGATATCCTTCCACAATTGAAGAACATTCGTACATTTGACGAAGCAATGATCAATGGTTTCTACTTCATTCCCGCAACAAGTGCAAAGCAACGAATGATGATCCAATCCTTTATCTTGAAGCATCGACCTTACCAGATTCCTTCCCCATTTAAGATGCCACATAAAAACCTTCTTTGGGATTATAGCACATCATTCCGTTGGAACTGCACGCACCGAAGCCTGTAACTTTTTTTCTTCCGTCAAGGTTCTAAGAGCCTTGACCGAGAAAGTACCCATCCTAGCTAAGCCACCAAGTCCAAGTGTCCTTCTCGGAGTGACTCGAAGAGGTGGTGCTAAGTAACGTCGGTAAACATAAATGTTTTATGACACAATATAGATATAGATAAAATGAATAGACAACCCTCGTCGATGAATGTCCTAGTTAATGCGGAAGCTGTATTTGTTGTTCAATAAACCAAAATATAAGAAATACACTATGGATCGAACTACAATCATGCCTTTCCTGCGTCAAGTTGACTGCCAGACTGGAGCTTTATAACATGTTAACAAAGACCTCGGAAATGAGGGTTTTCAAAAGATATGAAAAAAGGCATAATATGTTAAAATATAATAAAGTTTGCCTTACTTCATTAAGTTTACCAAACATTTCGATTAACGTGACAAACTTTCAAGTTTTCATATTTTATACACAATTTGATCGGTAACCTACTGATATTTTTATATACGACGATGTGGATATCAAGTTGTGAATTATAATGTAAAACTGGTCACAT